AAATTAATATAATTATAAAAAAAAGAATGTACAGTACAAACATAAAATCTCTTCTCCAAAAAATTTGAGTACATAAAGATTTAGAATTAATAATTTGGAGGAATATACATCTATCTACCATATATTATATAACATTTCCAGCAGAGTACTCAAATATCCTGTAATCAAATACACAATATTCCTGCACCAGACAAGAATAGGCAAGCTAAGGAGGATTAAGATTATAAATATCCTCGGGTCAGGTCAGGTCACATTTTGCCCTCAAATGAGTTTCTGCACTAAGCTAATAAAAAACTTGGTTTTTTAAAAGAGCTTGTTGGATAATGGTATTATTGATAGCTAAAACAAGATTTTCATTTAAGACACAGAGATCACCCAGCTTGCTTTAATTCAAAATGCACACAGAGCAAATTAAATCTGAAAGACATTTTTCAGGGAGTACCTCTGAAGAATTAGGTATTACCATTGTGCACATAGGTGAGCCTCCTCTCCTCTCTGGTTACGATGTTGGATATCCAAATATCATTGCTATGAATAAATGCAATCCAGTCTGGATCAGCAGGACATAATTTTGGGTCCATTCGTATGTTGGGACAACTAGTTTCTACCAAATTGGGTCGTAAGGGTTGTTGCTAGAAAAGTAAACATTTAAAGGCAAGTATCAAGTACATGTCCACATATTTGTCAGCACCTTTCCTTTAAGAACATTTCTAGGAAAATGCTAACTAGGATAGCCATTTCTGAGAAAAATATGTACTTTCATATGCTTAAATTACATGGCCTAATTTTTTCTCCCTCTGCATTAGACTAAGAGAAGAAAGGAAATAGTACTTTATTGCCCAAACTTGTTTAATGTGTTATTATTAACTAGATATTTTCTTATTAAATATTTACTATACATTACAATTAATTTTATCAACTTAAAATAGTTTTCCCATAAAAATACAATGGAAACCAAAATCATCACAATGCTATAAAAGTATCAGTTTTAATAGTACGTAAAGAACTCCATGAAATAAACCCAAACATTGAAAACCCACCTTAATTAATTTATTATGAAAAATTAAACTTTGAAGGGAACAAAAAATGGATTGCCTTTTGGTTAGTATTATCTTCCAAAATCTATGTCACCATTCACACTAAAAAATGGGAATTAATGACGTTTACTGTTGTCTTCTATTAAAGCATGTGGACATAGCATTTTATTCTATGTATGAACAGTGTTCAGGCCTTTCGTTCATAGGGTCGCTATGAGTCGTCTATGATTCGACGGCTCCTAAAAACAGTAACAGTGACAACAGAGAGAGAGCTACGTTGGCCTAGTGGACAGAAAGTTATGTTACCAAGCCTAAGGTGGGTGATTTTAATCTGCGGCCCTCAGGCTGGGTTCAAATTGTTTTCCTGTCAAACATTCTTCTAGGTGGTACAGCACTGGTCTGTGCATTGCTGTACAGAGGTAATTCGTGGTTGCTGTGATGCTGAACACCGTGACACTGATGTGCCAAA